TACTTCCGTAGTGATACTGCCTCGGAAACCCAAGGAGGGGTCGCTATGAGTCGGGGCTGACTCGACGGCACACAACAACAACAACATTTCTTCTCACTCTATATGAGATTAAATTACTCACTGGTAATCAGATCTATTCCTGCAATATGGATGGACTCTGAAGTGAAATACCAAAACCAAACCAAACTCACTACCATGGAGTCGAATCCTACTCATAGCAAGGGTTTAAGAAGCGGTATCACTACAGAAGTAGATTGCCCAGCTTCGTTAGTTAAAGTTCTAAGGTCCCAGGCAAGATACATAAAACTGTTCCATAAAAGGTAGGCAATATCTATCTTAAAATGTATTATAAGCAACAAAATAAAAACTATGAAGGAAAGTGCCTAGTGCTGTTTTGGCTAATGGAAGCTCAATAAATATTGTTTTACTTACTTTCTTTCATACGTTAATTTCCAAATCTGTATCTCCTGCCCAAACATCAAAGTTTATCGGACAGCCATAACTCTAGCCACTCTGATACAACAAAGACGAACTCAACATCCAAAATGCAGAAATAGAAGAATTTATTATACTGTAAGCTCACGAGGGTAGGGATAACATCTGTCAGGTTCACCTCTGTATTCCTAAAACCTGGTTTATACCAGGTACTCAAAAAATATTTGCTCAACGAATGCACGGCACTCCCAGATGAATTTAGTCTTCCTATGCCTCTCATGTACCCAACTGGCCCTTTTCCCTAGGGCTTCAATAAGGACTACAATCTAGCCCTAAAATTTTAATTAAGAGAAGGGGTATTCTGGCCATCTTATCTAATTTTTCCCACCCTGCTTTTGGGATTGATCTTGCTTCAGCTATTCCCCTAGAGAGAAATTATATTTGAGCAATGGCACTCAGTAAAAGTATTAGCTAAAGTAAGCTTTGAGTTCAATTCTACAGAACTCTGAAATCTAGCCCCAACAAGCAGAACTTCAAAGCATGCTGATGGTGCTGAAATCCCGTGGTCATAACCACTTTCGTATATCTCTGGCCTAGCTTTTACTTCTGGCCCACAAACTATTTTTTGGTTTATATGTCAGCATAAGACCTCCAGTACAATACTCAGGTCTGACTGGCCAAAAGCTTCTTTTCAAATTTACTGGGCTTCACTTATACTTAACACTAATTACACCAACTTTTACTTATAAAGCTGTACATGTAAGAATATTAATTCATAAGAAGATACAAAGAGAAAAGCCACTCTGAAACTAAAACTGAGAAAAATAAACCCCAGGAAAAACAATGTCATCAAACTAACAACCTTTGGGAATTACTTTAATGTCTCCAAAAACCAAACCAAACCAAACTCACTGCCATCAAGTTGCTCCTGACTCACAGTGATCCCCATCAGGTTACCAAGGCTATAAATCTTTACGAAAGCAAACTGCTTCATCTTTCTTCCGTGGAGCAGCTGGTCGGTTCGAGCCACTGATCATTTGATTAGCTGCCAAATGTTTTAACCACTACACCACAAGAGTTCCTTATTTTAATGTGTAGTGACTAAAAATATTTTCATTTGGTTTTAACACTTGCCTTTGCAAAAACGTCACAGCTGGCAAAAACAAACAAGAACCCCATTCTTAGCACAAACATACAAAAACTGCTGGTTATTTTGTATTTTAAATTACTCAAAAAACGTTTCATATAAATCTCTGAATCTTACTTGTTTGTTCAGGATACCTTTGCCATCTGTGTCAGCTAAATCCCAAATCTGAAATTTGGAGAAGAGAAAAAAAAGTATCAATCCATTTTTCAACAAAAGTCATCTTTTTGTTTATTTAGCACTAAAGCCCAATGAGGTTAAGTGACTCATTCAGGAACTTTCAAAGCATTAGAGAAAGAAGTGACCTCAGGTTTTAACTTCCATTCCAATGTTTTTTTTTTCAATAGTCTAGGTTCTAACTCTGAGTCCAAAGCTCTTTCTACTAGAAAATACTGCCCTGATTTTAGGGCACCTAATTTTATTACCTTATTAAGATGTTTTTGTTTTTGTTTTTCCTATGGGCAGTTTGAGATGGTTAATGTTTACTTGTGAATGAATAATTAAAGTATTATACTGATTATTTTTCAGCATTTTGAACATATTTATCAATATCATATATAAGGATCACACCAATAGAGGAGTTTTTCACCTCAATGTGCTCCCAAAATTTCCCATCCCAATGTACTCACCATACATCAAACACAATAAAACCAGAAAACAAACTCACTGCCGTCGAGTTGGATCCGACACATAGTGACCCCTCCTTGGGTTTCCGAGGCAGTATCACTATTGAAGTAGATTGCCCAATCTTCCTTCGGAGGAGTGGCTGGTGGGTTTGAACCTCCAGCCTTCTGGTTAGCAGTCAAGTGCCTTAGGCACTATGCCACCAGAGCTCCCATTAAACACAATAAGACACAGTTATAACAGAGAAAGTAGGGATAGAGTCAACTCTTTGTGAATGAGTGACAAGGTTACAATCAGCACTGTTTCTCCCTGTAATACTCAAATATAATATTACTTCCTTATTTCATCTCACTAAAAATCAATTTCTTTCTAAAAATATGAAAGCATCTTATTTTTCAAGAGGAGAAATCACTATATCACAAATCCCTCCACTCTGTCACTGTAAAGAATCTTTGACTCAGTTCTAACTTCGTTTTCTTTATGGTATCTCTCTGACCTTGCATCCAGTTCATTTACAGTACTAAATATTCATTATAATCTAGTTATAATGAATAAATTCTACCTTTCCAAGAATCAAGTCTGGAAGTCCTGATTTTTTCAGGAAAGCTGCAGCATCAGAAGCCAACACCCTTCCAGTATTGCCCACATCCACCTGAAAGACATAAATTCTATATTTAAAACAAACACAGAGGCAAAATTATCATTATTTACTTGCTTCCATCTCTGTAATTTGGAAACTGGAAAGGAAATCCTTTGAATAGTAATAGCCAAATAATATCTGTAAAGGCTATATGAGTACAGTAACATCTAGAAAGCACTGGCAATTTATAAAGTATTTTTCATCATGCATTATACAAATGAAAAAACTGAAGCTTAGAGAAGAAAAGCACATCAGTGGATTGGTAGTAGTAAAACATTATCTTCTGACTCCAAATATTCTATGCTTGCCATTTAAATTCCAATAAACTTAAATGGCAATGGTGCAGGAGCATATACTGGAGACATCTGCTGACAAATGAGAATGGTGTATGTTATCTGCCTCTTCAAACATCTTTAAATCATTAACTTCTGTTTTTATACTTACTCTTAGAAATTGCAGAACTTTAAAAAGAAAAGTCAAAGCACATAGAGGTGCATGGGAGGAACAGACAACAAAGATGAACCTTTTTTGCACATACAGTACTGCATTGTCAGTGAAGGCAAACATGGATATACTGGTGGATAGATGGGTGGACAGGCTGAACTATTAGGTATGCAGTGGGGAGTGTACCCAAGACCATGTATAGGGCTGACAGACAATGTTTCTATAAGTGTATTGGTATGTTCTGTAAGAATTCCCAGGTATATAGTAGAGCTGAAAAGGAAAGAGGTTGTAGTCACTTCTTGGCCACAGCCAGCTACCCAGAGGGAGTGAGTAGTTGGACCTGTGGGCTCGGGACCACAGTCACAGCAGACATCAAGCTCAATTGGCATAACATACTACACAAAACATTGTTCCACATCCTACTCTGGTGAGTAGCAACTGGGATCTTAAAAGCTTGCAAGTGGCCATCTAGATGCAACAATGGGTCTTTCCTCATCCAGAGCAAAGAAGAATGAAGAAAACCAAAGATTCATGGAAACAATTAGTCCAAGTGACAGGTACACCATGGGATCCTCAGTCTATACGACTATGAGACCAAAAGAACTAGATGGTGCCTGGCTCCCACTGTCAACCACTTGGACAGGGATCTATGTAGAAGATCCTGGATAGAGTGGGAGAACAATGTGGAACAAAACTCAAAATCATAAAAAGAAAGGGGGTGGGGGACCAGGTTTGCTAGTCTAATACAGCCTGGTGGAACCCCTGAGACGTTGACCCCTAGCTGCCCTTCAGGTCTGAGATTGAACCCACACCTGTGGCTTCAAGCCAAACAAAAGACAGGCATGTGAGGTGAACATTTACATTAGGTAGGTACTCTGGTAGCATAGTGGCTAAGACACCTGCCTGCTAACCAGATGGCTGGCGGTTCAAACCCACCAGCCACTCCTCGGAAGGAAGGTTGGGCAATCCTACTTCCGTAGTGAAACTGCCTTGGAAACCCAAGGAGGGGTCGCTATGAGTTGGGGCCGACTGGATGGCACATAACAACAACAACAACAGGTACATTCTTGGAGAGAACAATTATGGGAGAATAGAAGGGCTGTGTATGCACAGGGAGACAGCTCAGGGGGCAAGATTGCACGGAGGGAAGGACACAGGGAAGAGGTAACTATAGGGAGGAAGTAGGAAGGGAGCTGTTGCACTGTGGTAAATTGTAGTCAGTGTCATGAGACAAAGTTTATGTGAGCTACTGTATGGAAAGTGAATTTGCTCTGTAAACCTTCACCCAAATATCACAACTTAAAAAAAAAAAAAAAAGTCAAAGCAGTATCAGCTCAAAACCAGTTGTGATTACATCATAAACTTTAACTGTAAAACTAAGTTCCTAAAGCATATTAAAAAAAAATACATCATTTTAACTGATGGGGGCAGAATAAAGTCACCAAGGGCAGAAAAACACTTGAAAATGGACATATTCCAGAAATAAAAAAGAAAAAAAAAACTTTAATTTAAAACAACTGCTGTTGGACTGCCTCTTTGGCTATGAAACCAGAAGAACTGAAGAGTATACTGCCCAGCTACCATTACTGAACATTTTCATTAAAGATTCTACAGAAGAATCCTGAGCAAAGGGGGTAGAATATAGAAAAAACAGAACAGAAGTTCAAATTCTCATGGACTCCAGACTCTCTGGAGTCATGAAGGCTGGATGAATCTCTGAAATGACTGCACTGAGATCACCTTTAAACCTTAAACCAAAAACATCTCCTGAAGTCTTCTGGAAACAAAACAACAGTGTAGCTTAAGTAGTAAAAAAAATGTCTGCCTTGAGCATTAAGCTTCTTTAAGAGCTATCTATAGACGATCAAATTGACAACAGCAATTCAAGACATCAGACGGGAAACTTAAGGGGCAGTGAGTTTATGTTAATGGGGGAATGACAAGTTAGAAAAGGAGGGTGAGAATGGTTGGAAAACCCACAGAATGTAATCAATGTCAGTGAACTGCACATGCAGAAACAGTTGAAGCGGTGTAGTATTTTGCTGTCAACAACAAAATTAAAAAAAAAAAAAACTGGTGATGGTAAGGCAAGACAAAAACAGCAACAGTAAAATATAATGTCTCTATTTTAAAAATTTTTATTGTGATTTGGGTAAAAGTTTACAGAGCAAATTCATTTTCCATACAGCAGCTCACATAGACTGTCTCATGACACTGACTGCTATCTCCCACAAGGCAACAGCTCCCCTCCCACTTCTTCCCCATTATCTCTTCCTTGTGTCCTTCTCTCCCATGTACTCCTGCCCCCCAACTGTCTTCCTGTGCATACACAGCCCTTCTAGTCTCCTATTATTAATCTCTCCAAGGAGTTGTATCTATCTAATGTAAATATTCAGCTCACATGCCTGTCTTTTGTTTGGCTGGAAGCCACAGGTGTGGGTTCAATTCCAGAACTGAAGGGCAGCTAGAGGTCAATGTCTCAGGGGTTCTATCAGGTTGTATCAGATCAGCAAACCTGGCCACCCTTTTTTTTTTTTTTTTCTTTTTTTAATGATTTTGAGCTTTGTCCCACATTGTTCTCCTACTCTATCCAGGATGTCCTATGTAGATCCCCCGTCTGAGTGGTTGACAGTGGTAACCAGGCAACATTTAGTTCTTCTGGTCTCATAGTCATATAGGCTGTGGTTCACATGGTACACTAGTCCCTTGGACTGCTTCCACACGTCTTTGGTTTACCTCATTCTTCTTTGCTCTGGATGAGGAGAGATCCAGCATTGCATCTAGATGGCTGCTTGCAAGCTTTTAAGATCCCAGTCACCACTCACCGAAGTAGGATATGGAACAATGTTTTTGTGTAGTATGTTACACCAATTGAGCTTGATGTTCCCTGTGACCACGGTCTCCAGCCCACAGGTCCAACTATTTGCTCCCTCCGGGTAGCTGGCTGTGACCAAGAAGTCACCACAACCTTGTCCTTTGTCAGCTCTACTATATCCCTAGAAATTCTTACAGAACATAAATACACTTGAAGAAACATTGTCTGCCAACCCTATACATGGTCATAATTTATGCCCTCCACAGACATACCTAATCGTTCAGCCTGTCCACCTATCTATCCACCCACATATCAATGTTTGCCATCACTGACAACACAGTACTATATGTGCAAAAGGGTTCATCTTTGTTGTCTGTACCTCCCAATGCATCTCTCTCTATTTTCCTCTTCCTCAATGCCACCATGTTGATCACTCACATTTGGTACATTGCCCTTCTCTTCACCCAAATCAATACTTGTCTCTACCTATCTAGCAGTGTTCCCTTCCCTCTCCTCCACCCCTGGTAACCAACAAAGAAAATTTCCTTCCATATATAAACTTTTCCTTGACTTTTTACAATAATGGACTAAAACAATACTTGTCCTTCTGCAATTGAGTTATTTCACTCAGCATAATGTCTTCCAAGTCCATCCACATTATGCAGTGTTTTGCAGATTCAATGTTATTCTTTAGGGTTGCATAGTATTCTACTGTGTGCATGGACCATAGTTTGGTTATCCACTCTTCTGTTGATGGGCACCTAGGTGGTTTCCAACTTTTTGCTTTTGTAAATAGTGCTGCAATGAACATGGGTGTGCATATATCTTTAGGATATATACCTAGTAATGGAATGGCTGGGTCAAATGGTATTTTAATTCCAACTTTTTAAGGAATCCCCATACTGCTTTCCACAGTGGTTATATCATTTTATAGTCCCACCAGCAGTGTATAAGAGTCCCAATCTCTCCACATCCTCACTAGCATTTGTTAATTTCTGTCTTGTTGAACTTTGCCATTAATGCTGGGGCAAGATGGTATCTCATTGTTGTTTTGATTTGCATCTCTCTAATGGCTAATGAAGGAACTCTGGTAGCATAGTGCCTAAGACACTTGACTGCTAACCAGAAGCCTAGTGGTTCAAACCCACCAGCCACTCCTCGGAAGGAAGGTTGGGCAATTTATTTCCATAGTGACACTGCCTCGGAAACCCACAGAGGGGTCGCTATAAGTCAGGTCCGACTCAAAGGCACCTAACAACAACAACAATGGCTAATGATTGTGAGCATTTCTTCATGCTTGTTGGCCACCTGAATATCCTCTTCAGTGACATGCCTATTCATGTCTTCTGACCATTTTTTAATTGAATTATTAACCTTTTTGTTGTTGAGGCATTAGAGCTAAGTCCCTTGTCAGATATGTTGTTGCCAAATATTTTTTTCCCAATCTGTAGGTTCTCTTTCTACCCTTTTGGACAAGTCTTTAGAAGCACATAAAAATTTAATTTTTAGAAGGTCCATTCATCTAGTTTATCTTCTGCTGTCAGTGCATTTTGGGTTACGCTTGACAGTTTATTTATGCCATATATCAGAGACCCTAAATTTGCCCCTATTTCTTCCTTGAGGAACTTTATAGTTTTAGATTTCACATTTAAGTCTTTGATACATCTGAGTTAGTTGTTGTGTATGGTGTGAAGTACAGATCTTGTTTCATTTTTCTGCAAACAGATATCCAGTTTAACCAGCACCGTTTGTT